TAATAAACAAGCGTGCCCTTGATTTTTGGTTCCATATACTCTAAAGTTAAAGTTGATTAAACTCTACGCTAAAGTTGAGCACATATACTTCTCCGTACACCTCCCAAACCCAAATCATACAAGAACAATAGTCTTAAGAAAAACACACATACACACATACACACACACACAATTGCTGGTCCGACAATGGAAGAACCAGAGCCCCTCCATCAAATTACTCAAATCGGAAGATCCATTGGTGTTTCTAACTCGCCGGAATTCGAATTCTTCAGCTCCTTCTCTCCACCCGGCCTCCTCTCCGCCGACCAGCTGTTCTCCGGCGGCGTACTCCTCCCCCTCCACCACCTCCGCTTGTCCGACAACACCCCCCCGCCGGCGCAAGATCCACAATCATCTGGGTCGGATCCATTGCGGCCCGAGACCGAACCCGAAGTCCCCTCCATCGGATCGGCTCGATTGACGGCGGCAGCTCCCAGTAGTACCCAGTCCCTCTCACGGCGGTGGAGCGATATTTTCCGGCGAAACGAGAAGAAAAGCCCACGGGCCTCCATGGACATGGACGCTGATCAGGATCTAATTAACACCAAGGAAAAGGATACAATTGTCTTTAAGGAGAAGAAGAGAGAGAGGAGCACCAGCGGCCGCGGGAACGGCGTCACGGCGGCGGAGCTCAACATCAACATATGGCCCTTCTCGAGGAGCAGGTCCGCCGGGAACGGCGCGGCTCGGCCGCGGCCGGCGCCGGCGCCGGCGCGGAAGGCGAGCAGCGCGCCCTGTTCCAGGAGCAACTCGGCCAGCGAGTCGAAGTCGAGGCGGTGGCCGAGCAGCCCCGGTCGCGGGGTCCCCGTGGGGAGGAGCAGCCCCGTCTGGCAGGTCCGGCGCGGCGGAGGTAGGCGGAGCTTCGAGTCGGCCGTCATGAAGGACGGCGGCGAGGGTCGCCGGAAAGTGCCCCCGCCGGTGCCCGGGAGCCATTCTAGAGCTAGGTCATTGAGTCTGAATATTCCGACTTGTATTGGGTACCGGCAGCATTCGGGTTGCAGAAGCGCAGAGTGCGTCGTCGCCGCCGCCGGCGGCGGTGGCGAAGGCGTCGCCGCCGAAGGAGCACGTGGAAGTGGTTCGTTTAGTATAAAAAGTCTGTTTACCAAGAAAGCCTATTAGTCACTATCAATATTAGGTTTCGTTTTTCCTTTGCGTTTGTCTGATTCGTTTCTGGATATTGCCCTATTGAGTCAGAAGTAAAAGTAAAAAAAATTAAAAATAATATTACAGCCTTTTTTTTTTTAAGAAAAAAATAGAACTTACTCTTTATAATATAGACTGATTTAGCAATACATTACTTTTATTTTCTTGTTAATTTATTTTATTTTTGTAATTTTTCCTGGGGATGGTTCCTGTGAACATGAACAATAGCTTTCATAATTGGTTCCATTTTGTCAAACTGATACACAGACGAGCAGATTTTAATCATTTGGACAATTGTCTGTGATCTGTCCAAATCTGAATAGTGTGTTGGGCGGACAAATTGGTTGGGTCGATCAAGGTCGCATACCTGACAATAGTAGGTGAGTCTCGCAACAAGAATTTTTTACGTTCACAAGACTTGGGTTTCTGCATGACTCCAACTCGAGTTTGTTTTTGATAATTCATGTATACATACAAAAAGTCAATTTCACCTTATTAAATATGTTTGATACTCCCTCCTTTTTTAAATAAATGTCGTTTTGACTTTTTTTATTCATCCATTTTGCTAGACATATTAATGTCTAGATACATAGTAAAATAGATGAATCAAAAAAGTCAAAACGACTTTTATTTAAAAAAGGAGGTAGTATTTATTAGTAGCCGTGAAAGAGAGTGTGGTACCTTCATCTTGTAATGATGGAGGGACTATTAGAAAATTGAAAACTGAGAAGTGAAAGAAACTTAAAAATATTATTATTTGATTCTTTTCTTCTAGTTACTTCTTCACCCTCTCACTACTTGCAAATGGTTTCAACTAGGGCTGAGCACGAAAAATGTACGTTGATCGTTTGACTTTATCTGAACCGAACCATACTGAAAAAATATTTGGTACAGTTCTGGAGATTCATGAAATATCCGAACCAAAAACCGAATCGAGCCGAGCCGAACCGAACCGAACCATATCAACCGAGAACCGAACAAGAACCGATTTTAATTCATAAAATTCATATAAATGTAACATTTTATCTTATACTTTATTTTCATTTTCGTACAAATTTGTATTTATAGTTGAATTGCAGATAAAATCCATATATATAAGGACTCTATGTCCATAAACTATCATATATTATATTTAAAATTGAATTGCAAAAATCCTCCATTATTGAATATTAATATAATTAAACAATTAACAATAAATTATTTATTTTCTTACTGCATGTGAGGCATTAGTTTGAAGAAAATTAAATTATTTTACTTTTTTTATCACAAATTTTGGTAACAAACATGTGTATAATTGTATATGTTTCATGTGTATAATTGTATATGTTGCTGTAAATTTTATACCCAACATTTATATTCTATTAGATTGCTTCCGGAGGGCTTATGGAATATGGACCATGCATTGGAAATGGAGTTCAAGTTTGTATGGGGTTCTTGTTTCACGAAGAATATGAAAGTTCGCGTTATTGTTTTTTGTTTGATAACTCGTTGGGACCTGTATGAAACCATACACTTATTTTTTGTCATTTTAAACTTTTACTTGATGATGTAATTGTGGTTTGTGAATTATGGGACTTGTATTTAGAATTATGGGATGTGAACTCTTGGATAATGTGTGTCTTAATACATAATAGCACTTGATCTACAATTATTATTTTTTAATTATTTAAACTACTTAATATGATGAAGTGTTTATGAATGTTGGATTTTTTTTTCTAAAGCATATAAAAATTAAAATATAAATAGATAGTCCCAAATATTGAACCGAACCAAATCGAACCGAACCATTCCGATAGTCCCGAATACCGAACCGAATAATGAAAATCTCGGAACCGAACCGTCTCGATTTTTTGGTACGGTTCCGGAGATCGAATTTAGCGATCTCCGAATTTTGGTACGGTTCTGGAAATTTGACGATCTGCGAACTGTACCTAGCCATGCTCAGCCCTAGTTCCAATATAGGATATATATTAGTTTAAGAAATGCCTTTAAGCTCTCTAATAATTTCAGGCACCATATTATCTCCTAGAACTTGATCAACTAAAATAATGAAAAAAAAAACATGAATAAATTATTAGACTCCGTTTGTTTTGAGGGACTTGATTTCAAAATTTTTTAAATATAATTTTTTTTACTTGCATAGGATATGTTGAAAATATTATAAATCAACTGCCTAGCTCGCACCGATGGTGTTGACTCGCGATGGTGATGAACCTAAATGATCGCAGACGGTATGGTCATCAACAATGTATTTCAAATAAATAGGTTTGAGAAGTCATTTAAAATCCTTCAAAATAATGACTAAAAAATATCTAGCATGAATTTGAAATCCTCTTACTTCCATTACCATCCCAACATGCACGACGATTTGAACTTGTAAATTTGAAATCTATGATACTTCAAATCCCTCAATAAATCCTTCAATTCAAACTTAGCCTAGATTATTCTAGATACATTAATCAATATTAAGTTTAGTATATTTATTCAATATCCCCGCTTAAACTAAATTCATTAATGCAAGGGAAAATCGTATATTCTTGAACATGTCGAGTAATGCAAGTGTGAACGTCCTGGTCCGGTTTGGGGGTAGATTGATTCTTGTCCTCGCCGGTAGAATGCCGGAAACCTGCAAACAACTCTCACATCGGGGGTCGTCTCCGGTGAAGAGCCTCCGATGCTTAAGTCAGTATGTGTTTGAGCATACTGAAGTGAACAATAGAGAAATCGTGTTGAAGAAGAAAGGCTCACCCCCTTTATATAGGGTGAGATACCTGACCTAGGGCTGCCGGATTTGGTGAGCTGTCTGCCCTAACTGCCCGTCCATACACAATGCGCGTGTGTCAGAGGTAACCGTCGCCACTATCGCTTGCACCAATACTCTTTGGACGCGTGTCCTCCTGCACATGGGGTAAGCTGTCAGAGGTGGTTGTCGCTGTCAACCAATAAGTTCTCGACACGTGTCCTCCTGCACATGGGATGAATATTCTTCTGGAATTCCGTTAGAGGCTCTGACACGCGCCTGTGACTAGGCCGATCCATTAGAGTGTCGGGTCTGCAAGATGATCGACCTGTTGAGGTCGACTGAGTTGCTCGATCACTCATCTGGTCGAGTGATGGGTTGGTCGACTACTTGACTGGTCGACAGGTTAGCTGCTCGATCTTCCCGCCACTTGGTTCGGTTCCTTCGTGATATGACCTCCTCGTCCGGTTTAGCAGACCGATTTAACCTGGTAGGTATAATATCCTATATCATCGAGCTTCAACGATTTCGCAAAGATATCTACAGCTTGATCTTACAACTTTTTGTAATCTCATTCAACTTTAAAAAAAAAAGTTAATTGGTTTGTATATCATAGCTAAATACTTGAAATCTCATATAATAATAATAATAATAATAATAATAATAATAATAATAATAATAATAATAATAATAATAATAATAATAATAATAATAATAATAATAAGAAGATGTTACAGTCCCGTGGGGGATTATAGCCATGGATTATCTACAATAACTAACTTACATGTATATCTAAAGTCTAAAATCTCTTATGGAACCACTGACGGGACTATAGTCTTTTCCTAGTAATATATATACTTTTAGGTAGTGTTTGGTTGCCCTTATTGGGCGTGATATCATATGGTATGCTAATAAATCAGTACGTTTAAAGTGTTTGGTTTGTACCTTTATAGCCCAGAAAATGAGGAAGGCCCGGTTACTTATCATTTAATTTATTTATACCGTATCCCACTTTTGGGCCAGGATGGGGTATCAGGCCATTTCTTAGTAAGTGTAAAACTACGAAATTACCCTTCTATAAATACTAAAACAAGTGTGGGTCTCACATTTTCCTCATCTCGTTCTCACATTTTCCTTGTCATTCAGAAGTCGACGAGCGAAATGCCTCACTCCATAGTCGAAGGCGCCACCTCGAAAAAATTCTTTGTCGGAAAAACCCTAGGCAAGAGAGTCTCATGAGGAGACAGACACACACAGGTACCTCTCTCTCTTTCTCTCTCGATCGACACCTCTATCCATTTTTTTTTTAAATAAAAAAATCGATCGGCTCTCATGAAGAGCGAAACTGAGGTTCGAACGAATCTTGCTTAAATTGCTATCTAAAATTGACCAATATCAAGATCTAAGTCATATTTAAGTTCCGCAAAAGTATTACTAGGGTTACTTCTTGATTCCAATCTCTTGATTACAGGAAACAGACATTTGATTGATCATTGATTTCACCGGTTCAAGCTCTTCTACTGTTTTATGGGACCGATGTCGTTAACCAGGAGTAGCAACAGAAATTGATGGGGTGAGTGATCTTGGGTTACTTCTAATTCTTACAAAATGAGTTCTAGCTTATCTGGTTTACCATAATGATTTAATTTAAAAAATTAGGGGTTCGTTATATTGATTGGACATATATTTAAGTTATTAATTTTTGGTGCATTTAATAGCTACTATTTGAGAGGCATTTGGTGTTTTATCCATCTTTTTTTTTTCTTGTTGTTCATGTTACGATTTTTTAGTTGTTTGCTGGTGTATTTTCATGCTGTTATTCGGAGAGGTATTTGGTGTTTTTATCCCTCTCTTTTTCATTATGTTCGTGTTATGATTTTTTTGTTGTTTGGTGGTGTATTTTCATGTTGTGAATTTGGAGGAAACATGTGAAAATTTAAAAGCAAAGACTTTGAGGTTCTTATTAGGTCAGACTTGTCTGTGTATGTGTGTTTCGCTTTTTTTTTTTTTTTTTTT